ATTTTAACCTTTGAAGGAAAGCGAATAGAGGAATAACAAGGTCCCCAGAGACGGCTTGGGTTTCTTTCCCCTGCCGGTAAAACGTTGCATTGAAGGAGAGGAAATTTCTTCCCTTCCTTCTTCCAGTTTTCCATTCTTGGTGGAACAGGAACATTTGCTTCCCCCAAACGAAACGTCCCCCTGGCCTTCGAAGGGGCAGCTTTACCTCCCTGGCCCTCCACATGTAGGAGGTGTTGCTCTCATGTTTCCTGGATGAGCCCTCCATGGCTCAAGGACAGCCCTTGGGTGCCTGGGGGCTCCTCTAGCGGTGACCCACAGGGAAGTTATCCCGACCGCCCCTCATGCTCTCCATCCAACCTTTTACTCCTCTCCTCCGCTCAGCCTTTCAATGGCTCTGTCGTGTCCTCCCCTCGCCTCTCCCATGGACCAGCTCTCAGAGCCATCCCTCTTTTGAGGGGTGCCGTGCTGTGCCCCTGAAGACCCCCAAAATTCTGGGTTGCCCCCGATAGCCGACTGGCGAGACTCAGCTTTGCGTTCCGCAGCTCGAAGGGAGCAGCTTTTAGCCTCAGAATGGGGTTTTACTGGCAGCCAGCCTGGCTTTTCCGGCTCCCATCAGGCCTTCTTTTAAAAATTAAAAACACTCCAGGCAGCCCATGCGGTAGGAAAAGATGACTCTCCCCCCCCCCCAGGACCAGGTAGTATCGTTTGCTTGTTCGTTGCAATCCTGGGATGCGCCAGCCGGTGCAGCACTGACCCAAATATACTAATTTTTGATGCAACCGAATAACGAGAGTGCCGCTGTCGAGGGGGGGGGAGCATGTGCCCTGTGTGTGTCTCGCGTATGTCGGCAGTCGGCAAGAGCCACCAGCTGTCGCCCGGGTTGTGGTGTTGTCGTTGTTTTTAACAGAAAGACATCTGTAGCCTGGATAGCTGCCTTCCCTCTCAACCTGGTGTCTTCCGCACGGGTGGGGCCCCCGCCTCCGTCTCCTTCCGGCCCCCGGGGCCGAACGCTTTCCATCGTGGGTGCCTGCCGGCGGGAGATTAAGGCAGCTGTGACGAAGACAGGAGCGAGATCAAAAATTTAATCTCAGAAATCTGCCGGGTGATGAGCGCGTTGGCCTGTTAGCAGAGGCCCACTAAAACCTGGCTCCGGCTGAGCTAGAGTAGACCCACCAAACCCATGGGATGTGTGTAAGGACGACTTGACGCCCAGCCAGCCGGCTTGGCGGGTCACCTTGACCGAAGCCTGGTGGTGAGCTTGAGGCCCGTTCCACATCGGATCGTGCCCAGGTGCTATTTTCCCCCTCCTTTCAAGGTGCTCCATGTCCATCGGTTGCTTTAATCTCATCAAGCCTCAAAAAGCTTCCCAGGGGAGCTGGCCGGTGGCCTTCCGAGGGGAAACCCCCGGCATGAACCCCCCCAATGAAAAAGTTAATCGAGGGGTCCTGTACGGTCTGCCCTGGGCGGAGGCGGGGAGCCGTTGCCTGTCCTGTTTCGCAGGCGGTAAGGAGCTTAGCAGGGCTAGGACGAGAGTGGCGTCACCCGGGCCGCCCGCTTCGCACGGTCGCATCACGGCCTCGCCATCTGCCCACCGAGACGCGAGCGGCTCCCCCTCGGCCCCCCTGCGCAGGAGCCGCCCTGGAAGTGGGTCTCCGTGTTCTTCTCCCATGATAGCAGCCGGGTAACCTGTGGCCTCCAACGGCTGGATGGGAGTTCTTGTAGTTTCCTCCCCCCCCCCGGAGGGATGATGCCCAAGGCGTCCACTACTGGACCTGCCGCCGGCTGGTTGGGGATTTCCGGGAATTTTAGTCTCTGAAAATGTGGAACTTTCCTCCCAACGTTGTTGCCCTGGTTTGGAGATGTTGGCTTTTAAAATGGGAAACAGCTGTTTTGACCTGTTGTTCTGGAATGGGAGAAGGTGCGGTGGATTCAGAGGGGAGTCCGATTGCCCTCCCCAGGCAAGGTCTGGTCTCTCTCTGGCTTTAAGCCGGCGCGCGCCTGGGGGGTGGAGAGTTGGCAGGTCCTAAAGGGACCACAGAGGCCCCGCTTGTCCTCTTGGTCTCGGCTTCCCTCTTGTGGCCTCCCTTGAAAATGACGGCCAGAGGCATCGTGCGCTCCGTGCCGGAGGCGGCTGGTCCCGCTCGGACCTTTCTGCCTTCGGGGCTTTTAGGAGATGGGAGCTCCTCTAGGGTGAGTTTCCACACAATGCACAGCAGCAAAACTCAGCAGCTGGCATTGTGATAAAGGTGATAAAGCCTTTGAAAAACTCAGCCGGCGCAGCAAGGCGTGCAGCTCTGAAAGGCGGCCGCCTGCGGGCTGGAGCATTTGGGGGTGTTTGTGCAAAAACACTAAGCCGCCCCCATCTCTACTTGCCCGAGAGAAAGGGGTGGGCTAGATGACCTTCAGGATCCCTTTCGATTCTAGAAGAAGGATCTGGATTGGAGGTGGTGGCCTGCCTGGGAGACCGGTGACCATCAATGGCATCTTGTTTCATTCCCGTGTCTTGGGGGCCCCTGGGTTTTGAGGCACAGAAGACTGGAGGCAGAAGCCAGTGCGAGAAGCGCTCTCCCCCCCCTCAACTCCTGGCTTCCTCTGCAAAGCCTCAGACACTTTGGCCAAGCCGGTGGAACAGCTGGACACCTCGTTTTGGAAGCCAGGGCTTGGCAGCCTGTGCAGAGGGGAAGGGGGCTGCCCTGCCAAAGCCGAGCGCTGATCCCTGTCCTGTCCTGTTTTTAAAGCATCTGCCAGTGTGCTTTGCCTTCTGCTATTATTTTGCTTGAAAAGAGAGCTGGCGGGGGGGGGGAGTGAGAGTAACCCAGATGGGTGCCTTGCCTGACTGGCAAATAGGAAACACATTGGATCCCGGCGCCCGCCGGCAGCCTCTGGCACACGAGTGAGCCACCGCTCAGCACCCGCCGGGACATAGCTGTGGGCGGGGGCGCCACCGAGTCTCAATGGGCTCACATCCCTCTGCCTCCCAAGGTAGCCGGGGAGGTTTGTTGACCCGGCCCGACCTCACGGCTGCCCGCTTCACCCCTAGGTGCAAGCGATCCGGAAGGCTCTGCAGGACGGTCTTCCGCCAGCGCTGAGCGGCAATAGGATCTCTCTCCTCGCCCCCCCCCCGGGTCCCTCTGGCTGGTTTAGCCTGAGAACGGTGGGCTGTAACTCCTGTGAGCCCTGTCTCTCAGGAGGAGAAAAGGGGTGCTGAGGGGCTGCTGGAGTACAACCCCCATCAAGCCCCAGCCAGCATGGAAAGTGTGGGGTTGATGGGGCTTATAGTCTGCCAGTCCTTGGAGGCCACATTTATGGTCTGGAATATTTTCAAAAATGATGTGTTTGTTTTTCAATACTCTTTTCGCTTGACTTTCCACCCTCTTCTTATCTTTTTAAATACACTCTGAAATACAATATACAGTACCTCCCCGTTCATTTCATTCTGCTTGACTGCACTCTGTGGACCTTCCTCACCCGACCCGCTTTGATTGATTCCGGGCTGAGCTTGCTAGAATTTCTTCCTGCTCGAATGTGTCTTCGAGAAGAGCCTCGTGGCCCAGGGGTTATACGGCCGGGCTGCACCCAAAACTGTGCTCACAACCCTTTCTAAAGTTCCCCATACTCTTCCAAAACATGCTGGGAGGTGGCATTAAAACGTTTCAGGCTCACCCCCCACCCCACCCCAAGGGTGGTCCCTTCTTTGAGGTGATGAAATCCAGTTGCATGCCGGAGGGCTTCGGCCCTTTTTAATCCTCCTTTCCCAGGATTTTCTACCCTAATGTAATAAACCCCTAGCCCTTTGCACATGTGGTTTGCCACCCTGAACATGTCTTAGGAGAGCCCCGGCTGCCCGTTAGGGCTGGCAACACTGGGCTGCAGGGGGCACCCTGGGTATGATTCAGGATCAGGAAGTTTGCCCCTGTCCTTAATCCTAGCAACACTTGAGTTGCAGAGCCCACGGGTATGGAGCGGAAGCATCCCCTTATGTTCTCTAACATCCAGGTTCCAAGATGGGACCACATAAACCATCAGCACCTTAATCTCCTCCTCTCTCCTTTGTTCCCCAGGAGGCAGACAGCGGGGAGGATGATTGCCGGTTCCAGCCACGGAGGTGAGTGTCGCACACGCGTCTCCCTGCCTGTCTGCACGTGCCTGTATGTTTTGGCCACCCTTGGGTCCGGTGTCTCAGAATGTCTTTTGGTCTTCACGGGGAAAAAGTGGTGGGTTTTGAAGCAGGGGAGTTATTTCCCTCTGGTGGCCAGAGACTGGCAGGTCCTTGGGGGGGGGCCTGCAAAGCCAAGAGACCCTTTTTTTGGGGGGGGGGGAAGTCTTGCTTACCTTCTTGCTGAAAAAACAGTGGGCGAGGCAGTTTAATCCACACGGTTAAACAGACCAATTAAAAGCCAAAGAAATTAAAAGCCAATTAGATGGACAATTATCATGGCAATTATTTGAAAGGTTTAAATCTTTAAAACAATGTTAAGACCTGCCCTGGGCCACAGAGAGAAGTGACTTTTTTAGGGATGAGCAGCTGAAGAAAAGTGGATTTCTAAAGCTACGGCTACCCCGAAACTTCCAGCACAAAGGCTGCACATTGTTAAAAACAGAATGGAACATTTCCAGACTGTGTGTGAAAGCGTGTTATGTTTGGGGCGTTGGACTGCGTTGTGGGGAGTAGCACAGGCAGCGGTTGCCAACCTTAGGAACAGAGGTTGCTGCTTTCTGCCATGCCTGGCCACCTCTCCCCCCCCCCTATCTCAGTTTCATCTCCTCCTGGCTTCTCTGCAGGGGCCAGGCTGGGTCGGAGGGGACCCTCCACTGCCTTCCAGATATTGTTGGACTCCATTTCCCATGAGCCTCAGCCAGCCCGGCTAAGGGTGGGGGATGATTGGAGGGGTGGTTTCCCCATGTCCCCCACGGGTTTGAAGACATCTAGGGCCCCAGGTAAGCAAGAGGACATTCGTAGTTCTTCGATCTGGTAATGCCATGGATCGGGCCCAGGAGCGGGCAGGAGGAAAACAAGTTCTGTGTGACTGACTCGGGCCTTCCCCCCTTCCTCCTTCCAAAGCTCTGGCCCTTGCCTAGGAAACGGGGGATGAACCCTTGCGGTGAGATGGGGTATGATCTGCAGAGCCAGCCAAAGATCATCCTTCCCTTTAGCCACTTCCTGGGCCATTAAAATGCACACTCCGGTCACTGCCCGCAGTGTTTCGTTGTGTCTCTGGGTGCAAGACACGCACACACACACAGGCAAAGAGGAAGCCAATAGCCCTTCCCAGCCTGTCCTGATTTTTCACTTAGGATACAGGTTGTAAGCACTCCCCTCTCCCCCGCCACCCCCCCACGCACACACCTGGGGCTTTGGAGGGAGTGGAAGGGAGCTTCCTGTGGGCCAAGCCCGGTCTGACTCTGGCTCCGATGCACCCGGCCCTGTGTTTGTGTGCGGGCCAGAGATAAGGCTCAACTGCATATTTCAGATGCTTTTTTTTTGCCATGGGAAAAGATCCGAGTGCCTGCCCTCTGCTCTCCCGACTTCCTCTCGCAAAGGGATGGGAAGCTCAAAATCAGAGCCAGGAGCTGCGGAGGGTCCCTCCTTCCCCTGGCTAATTTTTGAGCAGCTTTGAGAGTTTGTTCTCTGCACAAAATCTCTCTCCCCCCCCCTTTTCTATGGGGGAAGCGTCAAATCCGCCTCCACCCCTCCAAAGAGTCATTGGAACGCCCCACTCGCCAGAAAAGGAGAAGGTCCAGAACTGGGGGGGGGGGATGTTCGTTATTTTCCTGGTGCCTCGTTCCGCCAAGGGGCACCGGAGGCCCTGGCAGCTAGAGAACATCGGGGAACGCTGGCCGGCTTCTCCCATGCTCAGAATGCCAAGGCTAGCTAGGCACAGCCTCGGCCCCGCGCATGATGCCAGCCCCCCAGCCCCGCTGATTCCGATAGCGGCAAACGCCCGAGAACGCCATCAGCGCAAGGCCCCCTCCTGATCTTCCAGAACTCTGCTGGCCTCTTGTAACTCGGGTTTTCTGATTTAATCCGCAGAAGAACCTTGGTTGGCTTTAGTTTTTCCTGACGAGTTTCCCACAGACGCAGAGTCGAGAGGGCTGCGCCAGGCTCGTGGCAGTCCCCGCACTGCCACGAAACCCAGGTCTTGCAAACCCAAGCCTGTGGGTTCTCTGGCTGAGTCAATCCCTCGGACGTTCGGCCTGCCTCTTCTCCTCGTGTCTCTGTTTTCCTGGGGTTCCTCCTCCTCGCGAGAGGCCTGAGGCCAGACACCTTCTGTTTAGTCCATTTCGCTTCTAGAGCGAACCGAACCCATTTCGAAGGGGTGGTAGAAGACAAGAAGAGACAGGATGGAGGTGGTTTGGGGGGGGGGGAAGAGGAAGGCCAAGAAACCGAGCTTGGGGAAGTGTCTTTTTGAGAGGGATCGTGGCCTTTTGCGTTCCCGCTGGCTTCCCTTATCTGAGCCGGGGCATCTGGCTGCCTCTGTTAAACCTCCTGCAGCTGCGCCCGCTTGCCAGGAAGCTGCGCCAACGGGGGGGGGGCGCTTCTGAGAGCTTGCAGGGAAGGGTTTTGGTTTTGTCTTTATGCCACCGGGAAGCCGCGCCCACGTTTCGCAAGCTGCACCGGGTGAACCTCTGCCCGGCGAGCCATCACTTTTCTTGGAGTTGGGCTTAACCTCAAATTTAACCTAAAGCAACCGAGCTCAGCCTGACACTCACTGCCCGGCCACCCTGGCCAGATGGAGCAGCCCTCCTTTGAAGACATTCAAGCCGTTCCCAAGATTGTGTCCCTCACCCTCTGGAGGATGGACTACAAGACCCATTGTCCCCACTCCACCGCTCAGCTCTGTTTCACGGTGGGGGTGGTTGTAGGGAGATCCTGACGATTGACCCCATTTCACATCCTGCCTGACACATAAAGATGTTTTGTGTTTTTCATTTGAGTGGGAGACTTCTTTCTTAAATGCCGAACCCTTCTGAAGAAATGAAATAAGTTAATCTCGTATCACTTCGCCAAACAAACCCAAAAAGACCACGGATGATGAGATTTCATAGGCTTCCGGAAAAACAAACAAGGGGATCGATCCTTGGTCAGAAAGTCTCCATAGAAGCAAAAATGACTAAACGTCAAGTTTGGGCATCTAACGAGAGAAGGGCGGGAAGGCTAGGAAATGTGGGCGGCAGGAGGAAAAGAGGAAGACGGAGCGTGAGATGGATGGACCCGATGAAGGAAGCCAGTGCCTCAAGTCTGCAAGGCCTGAGCAGGGCAGGACCCCAAGTTCTTAATTCACAGGCTTGCCTTTTAAGTCAGAAGCCACACCAACAACAAGAAGTCCTTTTTGTTTGCTTGTTTGCTAAAAAGGGGGGGGGGTCGGGGCCAGCCAAGGTGTGTTGCAGGGAGGCTAAGCTGTTCTTTCAAAATCCCATCGGGGCAATTTGCAGCTGGGTCTGAATGCGGCCACCTGCCTGTCGAAAGGATTTTGCATACCCCCCCCCCAGCAGCCTGGCAGCTGCAAGTCTGAGCTCAAGCAAGCGCCCATTCGGGCTGGTAGGGAAATACTTTCAGTGAGCTTTTGCTGAAGGCAAGAGAGAGCCTCAAAGGGGTGGCGAGGGAAACCAGCCAGACAGCCCCCCCTCCCCTCGGGATGCTATAAAACAGACAAGACAAAAGTCCAGACCGCCCGTAATGACCAAAGTGAAAGGTGCCCCTTTCTCCTTTCGCCCAGCACTAAGGCAAAAACGCTCTGCCCATGCCCAGAAGTCCTCTTGTTTCTTTTTTCTTACATTCTACCTCTGCTTCCCCCTCCCAACCCACTTGGGGTTTAGAAGGGGTTTGTCTTATTTATTTATTTATTTATTTATTTATTTATTTAACTGCTGCCCTGTTGCTTTGGATTTCCAATGACATTAAAAAAATAAATCTGTCTTATTGATTGATTGATTGATTGATTGCTGCCCTGTTGCTTTGGATTTCCAGTGACATTAAACAAATAAATCAATTGAGCAACTTGTGTAAAGGTTGAGGGGGCGTGGTTTTTAAGAAGGTGCCTGGGTGAGGGACGGGGTCTGGGTCCCGTGGGTCATTCCCTGCCCTAACCCGATTGGGGGGGGGCAAGGCCAGGTACCCCAGGCTCTCTCCGGGATCGGATTCCGCCCGGTCTCCCTGCGCTTTTGCAGGTGCCCATCTCTCCGAGCGCAAAGGGCCTAACGCTGCTGCTCCGGCGCAGGATGTGACGGCCGGCCGCCGAAGGGAGCCCTCTTTGCGGCGGGTCATCCTAAAACCTGCTCGGAAAGGGGAGCTTCAGCACCAAAACACGCATCTCGGTGATAGGGAGGAAAATCCAGAACCGAGCAGGGCTCTGGAAGCGTAACCCGAATGTCCCTCGAGGTGTGCGGGGTACAAGCTTTGGAGCCTTGCAGAATTCTTCACAAGGCCCATTGCTTGGGGGGGGAGGGAGAGAGAAAGATGGGGCGGGATACTGAAGGAGAGAAGAGACCCCTTACATCGGCTGGACCCAGAGTGCCGGAGAGCCCCCCAGGGCTGGCCCAGTTTGGGCTCCATCGTGCAGGAGCCCCGGCCTGCCTTTAGTCGGATGGCATATACATAAGGAGCGCAATGAAGGGCTGGCTGCCTCCTTCCCCTGGCCTACCTCGCAGGAAGGTTGTGGTGAGAAAAGGGGAGGGGGGAGAGACCCGGGCAAGTCCCGCAGGGGCGCCACGGAGGAGGGAGGGAGGCCGCCGGGCTGGCTGGGGGCTTTCCCGGGACTCCGCCGCCGAGACCCCGACCCCCCCCCCCGCGGGCCCCCCCCCCCGCGGGCGGG